TGAATGACCTCTAAAAGAAAAGGAGTGTGTGGTCAGGGAACAAATGAGCGTGCGAACAAAATCTGTGTGAGTGTGCTTCATTTATCACTTTTGAATCATTGGCAGGAGTGTCATGAGGCTTACCAGAACCATGTTACACCTGCTACTGCACAAACAATAAAGCAGAGCATGGACTTTTGGTATTTTCTTGGGCCACATCAAATTGTCATAGGTGCCATGTTGCGAAGCCAATATTGACTGTTTTGTGATGAAAAACATTTTGATTGACTTTTAAGCTTATACCTATATTCTTTTCATTTCAACATCATGATTGATGGTCAACTTTTAAGGCTTGTTTTATTAGGCTAATCAGACATTCTAAAACCGTTCACTGTTTCCCGTTTGGCTGTTTTCTGTCACCCATTAAAGTAATTTTCAAAAATCCTATCATCATTGTATAGTCTGAGCTTTATTTATAGTGGGGTCTGGAGATATTACTCAGACCTATTACAACAATGTTCCTTTATACCAAGAGGTAGGTACCTAATGCAGAAGCAAAATGCTATTTTATGAAAAGTGATTATTTCAAAATTCTCAGTAGTTGTCGCCAACAAACATGTAGTGTTTTTTTGCTGGTGGACAAAAAAGTTACATTTGCACTCAAATGCCATATACTCTTAGTTGCTGTTATATAAGGTCAAGACATGACTGCATCTTAACTGCCACTGTGCCAGGGTGTTAGACATTAACTAAATAACTGAACTGAATAATACTTGGAAGTCCCTTAAGTCTGGAACAGGTCCTAAATGTCCAACTGGTAAATCTAAGTCTAAATATTCACTCTCCTTTTAGATCTAATTTAGATTTTTCCGAACACATTTTACTTGCCTAATGCTCCACTATGGACAACTGTTCGCTTAATGTGTCTTTGTGCTCTTTGGTGCTGAGCAGTAAATGTACAGTACTAATTGAAACGTTGGTTTCCAGAGCCTTTTGCTAATAAATATGCTAATGCAAAAACAGTTACGTTTGAGCTGAAACTCATTATAAAAGCTAAAAAAAACTGAAGGAAGTACTAGATTTTGGTGATATGACCCTTTTATGTCCATCACATCGAGTGCCTCCTTTTACATGTAGCCAGATTAAGGACTTAATACACAATTAAGGAACTTGAATATCTCTTCTAGAAGTGCATTGGTTAATAATTGTGAAGATAATTAAATGTGTACTCCAGTGAATCAGTTAAATATTGCCCTTCCGTAATGTTGGAAGTTAATTGTCAATCAAAGTGAAATAGGTAGTGGTTGCTCGCAACACAAGTTTGTTTGAGGGGGAGAAGGGGAGTTGGTCGTTATTGACCATGTTCAGCGAGAAGTCATGTGGCCCGGTGTTTCAGAGATGGCCCATCTCGTCTCGGCGGCTGGTAAAAAATATATAATAAAAATATACTGGTTTTCAAACTCTAGACGGCTCCCTAAAGAGCTAAACAAGATATGGTACAACTGGTATCAGAGTAATTAGTACTGAACTGTAATTTACTTGTAAAAATGTTTGAGTTTTAACTGCCTTCATATATTTCCTCATCATGGATGTAGTAATAAGACTGATTGTAGCATGCGTCTAAATACACAAGTTTGTAATACATGTACAGAGATTTCCAAGTTGTTAAATTAGATTTTCTGGGTTTTAAAAAACAAAACAACATTTTATAACTACAGAAGCATTCTTGGTTAGATTCAGTTAATTCTCATAATACTAGAAGGCTTTGGTTATTTGTATGACTTAGTATCTCTTTCACCACCCTTCTTCTTTCTACAGTTTGTTACAACGAATAACTGAATATATACAAGTGCACCATGTCAAGCTGGCAAATTGCCTGTTCCCTGTTTTCTCAACTCCAGTTCCCTGTAGAGTTCAGTTTCTCTGGTGGTCTGATGATTAATGGAAGCGTCCAAGACTTTCTTGCAGAGTCTCATCTCTGTGTGCACTGCTGCCTCTCCATCTGACCCAACCCCCAATCTGAATGCAACCCTCTCCCTCGCTCTACCCGTTTGCTCTCGCCATCATCCCTCGCTCCCTCCTTCCCTGTGTCTGAATACGATCCCCCCCCCCCCCACTCTTCCAGTGACAGGGCCATCGGTTTGGCCTCCTGAATTACTGTAGGTTGGAGCTTTGTCACTCTGGCAGCTGCTGTATTGTCTTTGGGAATGGTGCATATGGCACGTGGACAGCAAAGTGCGTCTGTGAGGATACTGTCTGTCTGGCTGCAGCACAGATCAGATTCTTTAAAGGTCCCATGTCATGGCCATTTCTACTGATCATAATTCCATTGTTGAGGTCTACTAGAATAGATTTACATTGTGCAATGTTCCAAACTCACATTGGTTTCTCATACAGCATCTCTGTATAGTATGTGTATTCACTCTCTGTCCTACACGGCTTGTTGGAGCTCCTGCCCCATCCCCTCCCTGTGAGCCTACTGTGCTCTGATTGGTCAGCTCGCCCACTCTGTTCTGATGAGTCCACCACCGTTACAGCGGAACATCAGTGATTATGTGTTACAATGGCGTTAGCAACCAGAAAATGCAACACCAGCAATGACAAACAGATGAGAATGCTGCGTGGGGTCTGGGTGCCGTGTTGGCGGGACGTTGCGCGGCTCGCTACTGCGAGGAGCGGACAGTGTGAGCTGGGTTCATTTTATGCTTGCTGCGTGGGGTCTGCGAGACAGCGTGAAGGGGGGGGGGGGGTGCTGAGGGGGCTGCAGCACCCCCATCTGCGAGGCTCCACTAGCACCCGCATCCCCAAACGCCATGCACCTACAGTGTAAGCTCGCCACAGTTTCGCCGCTGAGTGTGTGTGTGTGAGGAGCTCCACGGATTGGACCAATGGGTCCATTTGGGTATGGTTACATCACTGTACCCAGGAAGAAAAAAATGGAAAAAGAGAAATCTCCAACAAGGCATTCTGGGGCAGCATAGACAGGTCTTTTCTGTGTTAGGGTTTTACTCGCTACAGGGTGTACTTTGAGGGTTTGTGACTCTGCAGACCGTTTACATGCAGAAAAACCTTCATAACACACAAGGGGACGGGTAATAACCGGAAAAGCATGACATGGGACCTTTTAAATTGGTAAAACCGAGTACCAAGTATACCTGAGTATACAGTGATCTGGATATCTCACCCATTGCTTGATGTCTTTGGCTTTTGACATAGGACTAATTATAAAACAGTGTGCTTGTTTGCATGCACATGAGACTTCAGATTGATTGAGAGGTCAGCGGTCAAACTACCTCTGGTTGTGTTTGTATAATGGTTGGGTGGTTGTTTTGATATACTACTTTTTTGGATACTCAATGACATATTTCATGGTTTATGGAGTTGCTTAAATTCAATGTCAAGAATATGCTCATCATCAAACTGTTGCCTCTCACTCACCCTAAGATTGGTTAAAGTTGTCTCTTACTGAGTCTTCGGCAGGCAATTTAAATGTGTTGTTACTTTAGAAGGGTCAAAATGCAGCAATGTCATGCGGGTTGGATGATTGGTGCAGAGTCATTGGTGTGTCTGTAGGTCACATCTGTCTCTCGAAATATCTTGCTTCTTGACTTTTGACTCCTTCCTGGCACTTAGGCTTACATATACTCCCCATCAGCCATGTATTGAAAGGCAGCATTTACTATCACTTACTTCTGTTGTATTGTATGTTATTATGGTACAAAAAGGTTTCTTGGTATTTACCTGTCCTACAAAGAATATATTTGATGGTTTAGTGAATTATGAATATTCTAACATTTCTTGAGACGATTTGACATAAACAAATATTCCCGTAGTACTTCTCTTCGTTAAGTGTGGTCAACATGCTGTCAGTAACATCTTTAGTGGAGGCTGCTGTGCCACAGGAAGACACGCTCGGTGGTCCCACCGTTTTAGAATCCAGAAACTTGTTTGCATTTTTCATTCAATAGCTTGATCGTTACGCTCCCCTATGTTATGGCGTGAATTTAGATTAATCACACTGAATTCTTAAACTGTACAATGTCTTGGCTCTGCTTTCATCCTAGATATTGGTGGCATAGTGCACATAGTAATTAGCTTATATTACTATGTTTAATATGTCTATATGTCTTTCTGGATATGAGTTGCTTAAAGGTGGGGTATGTAATTTATTTCAGAAACACTTTTTGTTATATTCCATGGAATGCTCTTAACATCCCGATAGCAATGAATATATTAAATGCTTTGACAATAAATACATAAAAAAAATGTCATCTGTGGAAGCCGTAGCACTGTAAAAACCACGACCAATCATTTTAGCCGGCCCGGCTAAAATAACTGGATGGCCTACCTGCCCGTCAGCCTTCCATCTGTGCACAATCTTATCTCGTGCCCTCATTGGCCATGTGCGCGTTCGTGGGTGTTGGAGGAGGGGCTCTGTAAGGAAGTCTGAAGGAAGAGGCAGATTTTTTCCTGTTGTGTACTTTCAAATTCTAGCGCACTCAAGCTGGTTTCTCCAAAATGACATACCCCACCTTTAATTGTAATTTAAGTGTCCAAGTCATCAACCCCACTTGTAATTTTTCCCCCAATTTTTAGAAAAATGATTATTCATGTGGTCCAATATGAAAGCTTTGCTCCTTAGCAGTTTCCCCCCCGGAACAACAGTTATGTAGCCTTTTTTGTATTGATGTAGTCCAGCCACGATGTGACTGTGAGTGGTATACGAGTGGTGGATGGTAAGCAGATAAGGGAGCCCTTAAATTGGTGGGGGGAGGCATACACAAGACCGCTATGACGGAAGTGAGTGAGTGGGGGTGGGGCATGATGAAATGGACTAAGGATAAGAAAGGAAGGGGGTGGGGTGTTAAAGGTAAGAATGTGAGCAAGAGAGAGGAGTGAGGAAGGACCTCAAGCTATTGATGGGAAAGAGGGGAGGGGTGGAGTGAGCAACAGCGTAGGAGAGAGAGGGAGGGAGGGAGGGAGGGGTGTGTGGGCTGAGGCTCCACTGAATGAGGAAGCAGCAGAGCCATTTTTACTGTTGAGTAACTGCATGCTGGTCTGGCTGTGCTAGGGAGGGCGAGAGAGTGAGCTAGAGGAAAGAAGTGCTCCTGAATCTTATCGGAGCCCTCTCTCCCCTCTCTCCCGTTCCCCTCCTTGCTTTACGCTTGTGTCCATTTAAGTTGGGGAGGCCCTGGAGAGGACACACAATGGAGCGAAGAGCCTGTGGCAACTGGGCCGTTGTACTGCTGAGAGGGGGATGGGGTGGAGAGAGGACCGGTTCACACAGCTAACACAGCCTGCCGGCTGTAGGCTTCCACAGCCTTCCTCCCCGCCTGGACCCCTGTTTTCAGGCTGGGGCCTTTATTGTGGAACGGCCACCCTCAAACTCCGCTTGGACTATACTAAGGATTATTCATCGTCTTCTGTCGGATTTTAGGATTCATACTGGAGCCTGAAGAATAAATCCCTCCTGTGTTTTGGCTTCTGAGAAAAGAGAAACAAACTTCTATGTAATTCTTCTTGCCCTTTCTCGGTTTTTGGTTTCTGTTTCTTTTTAGTGGACTTCATAAATGGATTACAAGATGCATGCCAAGTCAAATGATTTGCTGGATTTTCAAAAACTGGACGCCCTTCTGGAAAAAATTGCACATTCAGTCTCTGTGAAAAGGTAATGTTATTCGTTGAGGTAGACTCTCCTACACATTTTTTTAGACATTCAACAATCCCTGATGTCTTAAAAATCCCACATAGACAAATGATTATCAACTGAAATGATTGTTTAAGAAACGACAAGGTTAAAGTAAAGAAAGCCTTGGGTAATAGTTATTGGGACTATCATGTGGTTAGCACTATTTCTAGTTGTACATATCCATCACAACAAGCCAGTTTAGATTTGTTGTCTTGATATAAGTATTGTTAACCAGATTTCAGCCAGAATTTTCTAACCTACTTCCTGGTGAGAGAGGGGTGTGTGGGGGAAGGGGGGGTATTGAGGAAGAAGGGGGGTTGTGTGTGTGGCAGTTGTAGACATGTCTCCTGATTCCTGGCAGGGTTTGTCCTGCTCATCCTAACCAGCTGGAAGTTTAACCTGGCACGGCTGCCATGAGTCTTGCCTTTTCCCGTGTATGACTCATGGCTAGTGTATTTGAGTCACTTTTGGTCATTCACTGACTCATAGAGCAAGTTCTTCTCTTAATCAATACAGGAAGGAGAACTCATTTAAGTTTACGAACGTGTTATGTATGATTGGAACCAATGGTTTTTGTTAGATTTTGCTATTTTTGACTCATACCCGTAAGAGAAATGTAAACAAAGCGTGCTTTAACTGGGGTTTGTTTATAAACCCACTCCAGTCCCACAGGCCATGGATGATTACTAGTGATTTGGTAAGCAACCAAAAGTATGACTTCGAACCATCGAGGATAAAAATACAGTTGCCAAAGTGTGGAGTGTTACCATAGAAACATGGGTCAGATTTATTTGTCTTAAAGCCAGGTTCCAGAGATATTAAAATAAGGTAGCAACAGACCAACCACACATGATACAAGGAAGAGTAGTTCAACTTGTGACATACTTAATGTGAAATGTCTTTGGTTTATAATAGTTTGTTTGGCATAACTGAGCCCTACAGTGACGTTCTTATTATTATCAAGAGTGACCTTGGTATTTCCAGCAAACCAGTTTTATTAGAGAACAAAATGCCCTGACACAATAGGTCGACAGTCTACCTTCAGATGTCTTTGGGATGTAGTTCAGGGTGTGTGGGGGACCATTGCCCAGGATTTTTGATTACATAACGGCATCTTTTTTACCTCAGCGTTTCTTTCATATTAATAATTTGTGCCTTCATCATAGGTTCCTGTCCCACCTGTTTACACTCTAGGTGCTGAAAACACCCCCGGGGATTCAGGACAAATATTGTACGTACTTTGCATAATATCGGTGTAGGCCTGCATTTTTTATTTACCCTTATTAGATCTTTGCTATTGGGCTTTATTCTTCAATGAGGTATAAATATCTCTACCTCCATTCACCTTATTGGTGTATTTAAGAAGAAAGTGTCCATTATGTTTACAAATAATGCCACAGACTAAGCATCAATGGAATCACTACATTGGTGTGGAATGACAGACGGAGTGTAGCTTCTCTGGAGAATGGTTGTAGATGGTTTTATGAAAGAGTGGAAAGGCTGGTTATAAGCAGGGAGTGGTGCTCTTGGCCTTGTCACTGTGGTCCCATTAATAATGTATTCCTTTGCTTTCAGGCAAAACACAGGCCATCATGCTGACACTTAGAGAGGGTCTCAAGTGTAATCTGCAGGCTTATATTTTCGCCTGAAATCACCCCCCACTCCTTTTATGAATGATTTATAGTTTACTCGCAAGCATCTTGCTATTATGTTCCTCTCCTCTTTCCAAGTAGGACAGTCACTATGAGGCGGCACATATGACCAGATTTCCTGGTGTGAGATGTGCATCCCCCACCCCCGTAACTAGAGCTACTTCCTCCCCAGGAAACATTCCAGAGCGTTCTGCAGTGATGTATGTCCAGGTCAAAGGTCAACTTGTAGTCCTGAGCTGAGAGGGTTGTGAGACATGCAGCAACAGGAAGTGGACCTCCTGGTTGACCTCTGTTTGGGGCTGCCGCAGACACTATTATGGCGCATTTCCACTACACGGTCGGCCTCGGCCACACTCGGTACGGCTCGGTACGGCTTGGCCGCGTTGGGCCTTAACAGGGCCGACTCACTTCATGCTGCGCTTCCATTACAGTTTAGGAACTGGGGTAGTTACTATAGTAACGCAGTGTAGGCGGAGCCGTGACGTCATCTTCAATGAGAAATCCAGAAACACAACACAGCCGTTAGCTGTGAGCACTCAGAGCTCACAGCTCCTTATATATGTTCAGAAACTCGACAAAAGTTAAACAAGTACACACCACAGACTGCCTGTGTCATGGTGAATACAGTCGCTGCTGTATTTATGTCTGTATAGGCCGTTGTTGTGAGTGTGGACGGTCGGGGCATATACTGCGTTAGCTTAGCCAATCTCCATCTAGAAAAACACGAATTTTAAAAGGTTTTTCGCCTGCCGTCTGTCTGCAGACTTGACAAAGCATTAATTCATGGTTTTTCCTAACCGGTATCAGTATGTTGTTACTTCGGCATCATTTTGAAACGTGTATTACAATTAAATCACGGTCAAATATGTCCATCTTGTTGTAGTTCTAGCCCTCTTGCCAGCGCTCCTCTCTCTAGTTTAGCATACTCAGCCCTGTTTGTTGGCCCCGATAGAACCACAATTTTCTAGGGCCAGAAAAGAGGGGAAAAAGTGGCCCCGCGCCGTGCCGCGCCGGAACGAGGCCTAGTGGAAGCACAACCAAAAAAGGGGACGGCACGACACGGCACGCTTAAAGCGAGCTACGCGCTGCAATGGAAATGCGCCATTAGTCTCACATGCCAAGGACCGCAGGTCATTGAGAGTTTGTTTGTATTAATTCATCATAAACACCGTCAACATCACATATTACTTGAAGTTAAAATAAATACAAATATCCCAATATATCAACAAACCGTAAATATATTTTCAGAGTGTTTTAAGCTTAAAATGTGCAAGTTATTGTTTAGCTTGAGAGAGACGAATACTTCTTGAATGTTGACAATCCAACCTGTTTTGACTCCACTGCCATAGCTCCAAGTGTGTCATGCACTTAAAGATGTAGAGTGCAAGAACACATATAATACACCTCCATGTCAAACTAAATCAGACAATATTAAAGAAAGTATGAACACAATCCAACTCCTTAGACATAATAACGTCGGCACCTCTGAGGCACAGACTTTGTCTTCAACACGTCAAACCTAAAGCAAAGTCCTATGGTGATGAGAGACATTTAACACAAACTGAGTTATTAAGACATTTGAAAGGTTGTCATGCATACATGGTTGTAATGTAATGGAAACTAGAATATATTACACAGACCACGCTTTGTTTGCACTTCTGGAATTGAGGCAAAGCATCTTGTTTCCACCACCACTAAGTGGGACAGACAATAATACCTTTTGTGTTGATTAAATGTTTTTCAATCACTAGCAAAATATTGCAACGTACAGTTATGTAGTCACATGGAAATATTGCAATATACAGTTATGTAGTCACATGGAAATATTGCAATATACAGTTATGTAGTCACATGGAAATATTGCAATGGTAAGAGGTCAACTGCCTGTTGCCCCTTAACCTGCAGAGATCACCTGTTCTTTGTATCAGTGAGGTATAACAACAATACTTGTGTTTTCAGTAGAAATGAGATAATAATTGATAAGGCTTAGTATAAGGGCAGAAGAGAACTAAAGTAATTCCTTTCAAGGGTATCTCTCAAAACGTAATGTTATGTCTATAAGAAGTACAGCACTTGGTCCAGCTGCACTGCTGGGCTACATGAAGGCTGATTACCTATCGGTGACAGGTTTATGTCACATACATCATCTAGGGATGTAACATCAACTTGGATCAACAAATACCTTAAATGATCACCAATCCAATATCATCCATTTCAAGTGAAAACCTCCAAATATATAATCTCTAAGATACATTTTTGTTTTGAAATTCACATGCTACATCTGTGTCACCATTTCTGTCCGAACGCACCCCAAGTAATACACATTTTAATTTCATTGTAGTTGCTTAACAAAGCTTGGATATAAGTTTCTTGGTCACCCAAGGCTTGATATCCTATACAGTATCTGTTGTACTGAGTCAAACAACCTTTGCTGACCTTAGTTCAAGTGCCATACTGGCCATCATTAAGAATTCATTATGGTAGTTCCACATGCTATCAATGACATGTACATGTTGCATGGAAACCAAAGTGTATAACCTTATAATTAAAACCTGTCTCACTTTTCATGACGGGCAATGTCAGATTGTCTTGCATCTCAATATTGTTCACGAATATTTAGAAGTACAAGGCACCAACAGGCCAAGCTATTAGTAGTACCATCCGTAGGACCGCAAGTTAGACTGCAGGGAAGTCTTGACGAATTAGAAAGCCAGCGAGTCATTTAGCAGCGTTTCCTCTTTAGATATACCTGAAGTACAGATGCCCTTAGTTCACATATTGTTCATCCTCCCTCATTTATTGAATCTATCTCTGTGTTCCCTGAAGTGTGTTTACACTTATTGTTATTGCAGTTCTGCTATGTCAATGACTATCGCTGCGAGTGTGCCTGTTGCTGATGTTAATGAGCTGTTAAAGACCATCTGGCGGTATTTGTGTGATGATAATTCGCTCCATGCAGCACTGAAGGCCAGCCGGAACAGGCTTATGTTGTGGCTAACTTTTACCTTGTCCTTGTGGAAGATGTCCTGTAGTGGTTGCTCGGGAGCTGTTCATGACGTACTTGTGTCTGTGTTGTTCTCCTAGCTGTCTGTACTGTACCTGGCAGTGTGTTTCTGGTAAAGGCTGCGATCATTCCGAGCAGCTGCTTCTTCTGTGTCCTCAGTCGACTTTGATGCATTTGCTCAAAACATTTCCCTGAACATCTTCCATTCATTGTGCCAATAAGTCAGCATCCTTCCACATTTTGTACACAATTACAGCCTTGATAGGGCGATTGCATCTGGAAGGTTTCTGTTTTGTTTTTTTACATGCAGCAGTGTTTGGGCAGAACAAGTAATTTGTGTATGATTTTAATCCTGACCTGAAACCTGAGTCATTCACATTTTAATTTGAACAAAAGGCTCTTTGTAAACATAGGTATTTATAACGGCAACAGACGCACTCACATGGTGGTACTATTAAAAACTAGAAAAATACAAACTAATATGCTGTTATTCAATACAGTACAATACATCTGCAATAAACTTCATATCACTTTTGACCCATAAATGTATAGGCTATTGTGTTGATGTTGGAATATACTGCATTATATTATATCAAGAATAGTTCTTGATATATAACTAGCCCATATGGAAGATCAAAATATTATAACACCAGTACAAAGTAATCTTTCATTAAATGTACTAAATTATTCCCAATAAAAAAGGGATTCGCAGGTAGTATTTACGTTTGTATATAATTGCATTCAAATGTACCTACAAATGTCCCTTTATTTAGGGTGGGGTACAAAAATAAACCACAAATGATGGGTGTTCAATTATAAAAAGGGTTTGATTTTTTTCAATAACTCAAAAGACTAAATTATAATTGGAAATAACATTTTAATTGTCTCAAAATCAAATAAGAAGCGTTGGAATGTGATCCCTTTTCAGGACATACTTTAGTAAAGCCATTTGTTCTCTTTAATCACTGAAGTATTGCAGTAAGCATTTTGAGTATTGTTTTTGTTGACAAATAGTAATCAACTGTCATAGTCTTGATGGTAAATGCTAGTGGAAACAAAAGTGGAAATATATCCAGCAAATAGGATTGTATCGGAAGCTGTCCAGTGCAATCTCTAAAACAAGGCAGCTATACGTACTGTCATGTTGTTCAAATACCTGTCTTCTACAGACAGCCTGTGATACCTGTGAAAGTACTCCTCCATAACAGACAGGAATGACAGGTTCATCTTGAAGTCAATATACTGAGGCGACTCGTTTAAATGGTATCATTCGTTGAAGCCAGTTGACAAAAGCAATGTTTTCCATATTTAAATTGTTCACATTCATGCCTAGGGCTTCGACAAGTTCTGTGCTTATTTATTTGCGGTCTTATTTGTCAAATATTTTTGCTTTCGGCTTCAAAAGTACCATCTGTGATGATCTGGTACTGTTACCATATTGGTCAGTCAGATTCTCCACTGTGTTTAAAGGCCTCGGGGCAGCCAAGGCAGCGATCATGTGGTGTACAAACTGCTTCCCTGTTCTCATGAAGTGACTCATCAAGAATGAGATTAGTCACAGATATATACTGTGGTGTGTATTTATCTTGAAGTTGTGGGGGTGGACTTCAGTGTTCCAGACTGTGAGACTAACTTGTTTCTAATACAGGCCAGAATACACAACCTTTATGATCAGTGCTTTTTTACTGAGTCTATCTTTAGACAAGAATACCTCATATCAACCTTGTTGTCTTTAGAGCCTTGTGTGTATCTTGAATGTGATGTCCATGACTGGCTGTAAGGGGCCATAGTTTATGACTGAGAGCTGTGTAGCAGATCACACAGTGTGTGTGTGTGTGTCCCCCCCCCCCCAGCTGCCAGATGACTCATTTGCTCTCACCCTGCACCCTCTGTCCGCCCACATCCCTAAGCACTCCCGGGAACTGAGACAGAGTAGTTAATCAAATATCTACTCAAAACACACACTGCTAGAGCCTAACCTTAAACTCTTTGCTCTCCTGAATACACTGCATTTACATTTGATGTATCACTATCAGCAGTAGGATGATATCAACTTTTATCATTTTTGTGAACTGAATAGAATTGGGTTTTTAACTCTTAAATGGGCAAAACAAGATGTTTTATGACTTGTTGTGGATAAGAACCTCACTCTTTAAAACATATAGGCTGTTACTCAACAAAATAATTAATCTATTATATAAATGTTCAGCAGGGTTTCTTGGCAAATATTGTTATAATGGTAAAGTTGGTCACAATTACTCGCATTAAACATTAAAAAAATATTTGTAATCTTTAACAGTGGATTATTTTAGGCTCTCTTTCCATCATCTTGGTTTGAGCTGAACTAAAGAAGTCACAGCCATGTCTGAGAGGGAGTTAGGGTATTTAAGAAACGTTTCTCACAGGGCAGGGGGCCCGCCCTTCCCTGAGTCTCTGGCCTTACTGTGTGTGTGTGGGGTCCTGATTTTCTCCCAGAAAAGAGAGAGTTGAGAGCTCTGCCAGGTTCATTATTATCTGCATCAGGACATCCCAGAGAGTAATATCACACTCATAACGAGGGGTAAAACAAAAACTCAACAAAAAAAATGACTTTGTGGTATGCTGTTTGATCCCATCAGTCGAATTGTCTGTAGCTGCTCCAAACAGCCACAATCAAAAGGCGCGGTGAAAAACCGTCCATTATGGAGAGTGGCAAGACACAATGAACCATTCATTTTAATCTATATTGTTTCACTTGGTTGTACATGAAAGAAGCTAGACTGAACAATTAAATGTAATGTTTTTAAATATGCTAATGACCGTTTGCTTTTTTTCTCTCCCCAGAGAGTCCAGTGAGGAGTGCAATGGGATCAGCGGTGCTCTGTCAGTGGAGTCTGTGCCGGGGCCAAGACTGAGCTGGTGTCCTGCCAACACCACTACCCCTGCCCCTGCAGCTCCAGCTCCTGCTTGGGGGACTGAGCCCGCGCCCCACCCTGTCAGAATGGGAGACGGCCTGGATGCAGCGCAGATGTCGGGCAGCAACAGCAGTAGCAGCAGCGGCCAGGGGCAGGCCCAGCAAGGTGGCAACCCCCCACCCCCAGAGTACATCAATCCCAACAGGCAAAAGCGCCAGACCAATCAGCTGCAGTACTTGCTCAAGGTGGTGGTGAAGGGCCTGTGGAAACACCAGTTTGCCTGGCCCTTTCTTATACCAGTGGATGCGATCAAACTTAACCTGCCTGTGAGTACTTCGCCTCTGTTTGTACGACGCAACCTACCTTAAACTTTCATCAGGGCATTACTAAGGCGCACTCAGACTGCAAGCAAAAGTTGTTTGAATCAAATTGTTTTTTCTTGCACATATTTGACTCAGATCATTATTATTTATAAAAGTGTGAACAAGACAAGGGATCGGATCTTCTCAGATTTGGGCTACTATTTGTTGTGTTGTGTCTCAATTGCGTTCTCACTCACTCACTTTTATGCAACCTTTTTTCAGGACTACTACACAATAATCAAAATTCCTATGGACATGGGAACAATCAAGAGAAGGCTTGAGAACAGTTACTACTGGAATGCCCAAGAATGTATCCAAGACTTCAACACGATGTTTACCAACTGCTACATATACAACAAGGTGACATATTTGTACACTGGAGCTCTTGTTAACATAAAATCCAAAATATTTTAAAATGCCTCCACTTTTGCTAACTGTGTTTGTCTCCCCCTGCAGCCCGGAGATGACATAGTCTTAATGGCTGAGTCTCTGGAGAAGGCTTTCCTCCAAAGGGTCACAGAAATGCCTCAGGAAGAAACTGAGATTGTTGTCATGACAGGGAAGGGACGTGGCAGGGGCCGAAGAGAAGGAGGTATGAGATTTTCTGCTTCATCTTTTGCTAACGGTGTTCTTGAAGCTGGAGATGGTATATTTAACCTAATGTCTTGTTTTCTCATCAAGGTCTGAACTTGAAACCAGGGGGCATCATTGATTCTTCGTCCACGATCCCTCTAACACGTGGTGTGTCGAACCTCTCGGCAGCACCACAGATCAGGGGACCGGTGCAGGGCCCGCCTTCACTACCTCCCCAGCCTTTGATGCAGGCCCTGCCGTCCCACATGCCCCCCACGTTACCCAGCCATGCGCCACAGCTCGGGGCCCCCTACTCGATGAGCCACTCAGACTGCGCTCCTCAAGTTCCCATCATGACTTCTGTGCCTCCCCCTGCTCAGACCGCGCTCCCCCCAGCATCCATCCAGAACGTTGCACCCATGCTGCAGAACCCCATTACCATGACCAAAGTGAGTGTGATGTTCTAAAAAGCAGAGATGGCAAAAGTACACACATCCTTTACTCAAGTAGAAGTACAGATACTCATGTTTAAAAATACTCTGGTAAAAGTAGAAGTACTGACTAAACTTCTTTACTCAAGTAAAATTAAAGAAGTATGGGCTTCCAAGTAAAAAGTACCCATAACTACCATCTGTTTTAAAGAGTAACTGACCTCCCTTTATATTGATAGAACAATAATGTCATTGTTAGCTAATGAATGTTTCGATGCTGAACAATGGCAAAATGACAACGTTCTCATTGGTCCCTCTTTAGAGAAGACCAGGAAATGATGGATACACGGATCGTGTTCAAATCAATAGGCACGCAATGACTCTAAATAATAATGATCACGCCACCAAACACACATTCAAACTAAAGTAACGAGTCTGTTTGGAAAATGTAAGAAGTAGAAAGTACAGGCATTTGTGTTAAAAATGTAAGAAGTAGAAAGTACAGGTATTTGTGTTAAAAATGTAAGAAGTAGAAAGTACAGGTATTTGTGTTAAAAATGTAAGAAGTAAAAAGTTGTCAGAAACATAAGTAGTGGAGCAAAGTACTGATAACAGAAAAATGTACTTAAGTACAGTAACGAAGTATGTGTACTCCATTACTTCCCACCTCTGCTAAAAGGTGTAGATGGAAGTTCTTTGAGGTGCCAACTAGAATACTGCTTTGAAATGCTGGAGGAGAGGGCAGTTTAAAATGTGTCTAAGGCAATTCAGTTATTGCCAACTTATTTTAACTACTGATTTCCTGGCCCTTTTTCACCATCTCTCTGCTCTCCTTGTATTCACTTCTATCTAGATACGAAAGAGCCAGAAGAGGAAAGCTGACACCACCACTCCCACAGCAAATGACCAACTGAGTGAGTCTTCACCAGCAGAGTCCAAATCTGGGAAGACCCTACCCAGGCGAGAGAGTGCGCGGCCTCCTAAACTGTTGAAGAAGGAGGCTCCTGACTCCCAGCATCACATCGGCATGGTGATGGGACTGAGTGGACCAAGTGGCGGTCACAGCCCCAAACCACAGGATCAGCTAGGATACTGTGCAAGTGTGGTCAGGGACATGCTGTCCAAGAAGCACGCTGCTTATGCCTGGCCCTTCTACAAACCTGTGGATGTGGCTGCGCTGGGACTACACGATTATCATGACATCATCAAGTATCCTATGGACCTCAGCAGCATCAAGGTGAGATTAGACTGCATTATTCATTATAGTTTCATAAGATATTGACAAAGAGTCATTTCGGGCATTGGCAAGTAACTCATTTGAATGTTCTTAACAGTTGAAGCTGGAGAACAGGCAATACCGAGAACCCCAGGAGTTTGCTGCTGACGTACGATTAATGTTTTCCAACTGCTACAAATATAATCCTCCAGACCATGAGGTGGTAGCCATGGCCCGCAAACTGCAGGTGAATATATAGGCTGACATGCAAACAAGGTTCCTGTCGTAAAAAAGGGCAAGCATAATTCAATAAATGGACAATTACACGTTATAGTAAAAAGTCAATACCATAATGTTTGTAATACATGTTTTGTAAGCTAGATTGTCCAATGTTTTAACTAATAGAAAAGTGAGCTTAAAGCTGTCACTGGTAACCTTTGCAGGAAAATCTATTTAGGATCATTTGTATATACAACGTTTGCTTGAAATGTGTAAGAAAGAAAATAATATAAGAATTTAAAGTAGAACATAAACACTTGTGCCAGGATGCTATCGAAGTTTTATGACATGCACAGTCCATCTCACAACTTTCATTCATGTTTTAATGTTTATTATTGTGGAGTGTTTCGGTCTCTTTCTACAAACATTCACTTTGTGTTTCTGACTTGTTTGTTTCTTCTCATTTCATAGGATGTCTTTGAGATGCGCTTTGCCAAGATGCCAGATGAACTTGAGACCAAGCCTCTGGTTACCCCCCCACCTCCTGTACTTCACCACCCTGCACCAGTTAAGCCCCAGCCTCCTCTGGCCCACGTGGCCTCGTCCTCAGACAGCTCCAGTGACTCGTCCTCCGAGTCCGAGTCTTCCACAGACGACTCTGAAGAGGAGAGAGTCCAGAGGTTAGCAGAGCTCCAGGATCAGGTCAGTGACCGGAATACATTTACGGTGGTGGAACATGTGTTGTCTGGTCCTTGTTGCCCTTTTGTTGACAGCTGGTCTTTTCTCTTTATACAGTTGAAGGCTGTCCACGAGCAGTTGGCTGCCTTGTCCCAACCACAAGCCAGCAAACCAAAGAGAAAAGAAAAAGAGAAGGAGAAGAAGGAAAAGGAAAAGGAGAAGGAGAAGGAGAAGAAGAAAGAAAAGCATAAGAAAAAGGGAGGTATGTCTGGCCATGTGGATGAGATCCAGGATGCAACACCTGTCCCGCAGCTCTCTAAGAAGAACAAGAGCAGAGACCATAGCAACAAGGACAGTGCACCAAGGAAGAAATCTAGGTAGGTTTTACACCCTTTTAAACTCCTTGAAAGTAAATGTTTGTATAGCCATCAGCTTGGCATTGCACAATTCAGTGTCATCTTTCACCAATTCTGATTTCCCCTTCCTCAGGTTCACACAGTTTAATGGTTGTTGAGAGATTTTATTTTAGATTCTTATCATGTTTAATGATTGGTAGGGGATTTTATAATGTCTTCATCCCCTGTAGAAGTCTATATGTATCCATTGTTAGTTTTAATGCATTTGAACTTTATTATGAAAGCTATCGTGTAAACATAGGCTTGTCATTGTTATAAATCCCTACGTTTTAAAATGTTGTTATTCTTCTAGTAAAAAGGAAGCGATGAAACTCAATCATCCCACCAACCTGCTGCCAGTTCCCAGCCTGGAAGAGGATCTGGGAGCTGCTGGGTCTTCGTCCTCAGGGGAAAAAGGCAAGCCTATGACGTACGAGGAGAAAAGGCAGCTCAGCTTGGACATCAACAAGCTTCCTGGGGACAAGCTGGGCCGTGTGGTGCATATCATCCAGTCCAGAGAGCCTTCACTCAAAAACTCTAACCCTGATGAGATCGAGATTGACTTTGAGACGCTAAAGCCTTCCACTCTGCGCGAGCTGGAGAGATACGTGTCTTCCTGCCTCCGCAAGAAGAAGAAGTTTCCAGGTAAGCACTCTCTAAGAAACCACCAAGGGGAGCTGGTCCCGAGTTTAAACAGCTGTCTAATTGTTTAGTTTACTTACTGTTTGATGCTTTATTGGAAATGTATGAACAAATAGTTGTTACTTTGCAGCTGAGAAGCCTGTGGAGTCCATGGCTACCTCCAAAAAGACTGGTTCCTCCTCAGAGAGCAGCGGCTCCAGCACAGACAGCGAGGCTGAAGCGACAGGTGACTTAAATTGACAGTTAAAATGGCCACATAAAAAAAAAAAAGAAAAATGCCAAAGTGCTTCATCTTTCTTTTCATATTTTCAGGAATAATAAAGCATCAGAAGAAAAAGGGCCACTCTGCGAAGGAGGGGAAGAAGCCTCATCCTCATTTACACATTCAGAGTGGCCCCGCTCAGGCTGGGCTTCATTCCCATATAGCAGGCCTTCAGGCTAGCATCCAGATGAAGCAGCAGCATCAGCCGTCTCCTGCAGGCTTCACCGCCCCCCCCGTAGCTGCTCTGGAGTCTTCCCAGCTACTGGAAACTAGCTTCGAGTCCCTGCCGCCTTTCGGCCAGCCCCTCATGCATCTGTCCCATCACCAAGGCAACTCCCAATCCTCACCCGCAGCTCCACATCTCAACGCTCATTCTGCTGGGCCAGTGTCCCCTGAAACCCACCCCTTCCTCAACCAGCATCCCGTCCTTACGTCTCCGGGTAAGGCCAAATGTACGCCAATCCATTTTTTTCTTTATTCTAATTATTTAATGCCACTCAAATGTTGTTTTGTTTTTATTCAGTGAACTTTGGTTTTCATTCTCTTTCTATGACCTACAGTTTAAAATAATCAACATCCTGACAAAAAACAAAAATCCATCCATATTCCTGGATAAACTTTTTCATACGTCATTAAACATTTAATAGGACTGCTGTGATCTATTACTTTTTAGTTTTAGATTTTCACTCACCACTTTCAGCTGTTCAGAAAAGATTGAATGAAGCCGAGGTTTCTCCTGCTGTAGTATCTGCTATACACCAGTGGGTTATAATCAGTGTCTCATGTCCCATCACAGTGGAAAGCACCTTTATAAATGTCTTCTTTATTTTTTTAATTCCCACTAAATAACTGTAAAAAGGTGTTCACATTTTGCAAATGAAACTTATTTGTTGTATGTTAACATGTAAAAGATGAACATCCCTATTGGAAAGATATTTTTGTTACAACAAATGTGTATTTCTTATATTTCTGTTTCTTTCCTGACTCTGTGCACCCTTAGCCTTGCACATCTCCATGCCTCAGCAGCCTTCCCGACCCAGTCACAAGGCGGCGCCTCTTCATCCAAAAGCCCCTCAGCAGCAAGCAGCACCCCCCCAGCAGCAGCCCCCCCTGCAGCAGCAGCAGCAGCAGCAGCAGCAGCAGCAGCAGCCCCCCCCCCAGGCAGCAGCTCCACCACCACAGCACCAGCTTCCCCCCCAGATCCTCCACCCTGCTCAGCCTCTGCACCAGCGGCCCATGTCCCCCCCAACACTCACCCCCCAGGGCTTGCTCTCCTCCCAGCCTCCCCAGATGCTGCTGGAGGACGATGATGAGCCAGAGTCCACCACCCCTCTGAACCAAGTACAATTATACCTGCAGCAGTTCCAGCAATCCCGGCAGCCCCAGCAGCCCCAGCAGCCCCAGCAGCCCCAGCAGCCCCAGCAGTCCATGCAGTCACTTCAGGCGCAGGTTCGTCAGCAGCAGCAGCAGCAGCAGCAGCAGCAACAACAACAGCAACAACAGCAACAACAACAACAACAACAACAGCAACAACAACAACAACAACAGCAGCAGCAGCAGCAGCAGCAGCAGCAGCAGCAACAACAACAACAACCAGGACAGATCTCTCTCCTGCAGTCTGTGCAGGGACAGTCTCAGCTCCCCTCCCAGACCACCCTGCCTCCCCCACAGCTCACCATTCAGTCCCAGACGCAGCCCGCCCCTTCACATCAGGGCCCCGCCCCCACAAATGCCCCTCCACCCGGCCCGCCACATGCAGCAGCAGCAGCAGCAGCAGCCACAGCAGCAGCCACAGCAGCAACAACTTAACTACCCGCAGGGTCCTGGACTCGCTGGTCAGTCCCAGGGGTCACAACACAAGGTATCCATGCCCCCCAACAAAGCACAGCAGATCATCCAGCAGCAGCAGCAGCAGCAGCCCTCCCCTCGCCCGCCCAAGGCTGACCCTTACAACGCAGGTGAGTGGAAGAAGATGAGACTAAAATGTAATATAAGAGGGAGTCGGGAAGCAAAGATTGGTGTTGGCTGATGTTTATTATAATGCCTCTCCTTTCTGTTGACAGGTCACATAAGGGACAACCCATCGCCTCTCATGATGCATTCCCCACAACTTCCCCAGTTTCCACCTGTGTCCCATCAGTCCCCACCTCAAAACATGCAGTCCAAAAAGGTGAGCAATGCTTTTTAGAAACCGTTATAGCAGGTCAACTGTCCTGTGTCCACATGTCTGACTCTGACTCCATGTGTTTGTCCTGCAGCAGAGGGGCCAGGGGAACCATAGTGTTGTGAAGGAGGAGAAACTTCCTCCATCACCAGTGATGAGAGGAGAACCATTCAACCCGGCCATGAGACCCGACCATCACAAACATCCTGATAACAAGCCTTCTCAAACAAGCCACGGCCCACAGAGTGAGTAACAGGACTTGTTGTTTTTACTGGAGCTTTATTTTGCTATGTTAGAAAGGCACCGATACTCTGACCTGCCAATTCTGAATTTCTAAGAACAGTTAGAACAGCAAACACAAAGATTTCTTTAACTTTGTTTTTCAATGGAAAATGTAATTGTATGTTCCTACAAATTAGAGAAAATATTCTATACTGTGCATGTAGGCTTATTATTAGTTAATCAAACGTATTCATGGAGCCTGATCACAAATTGCAGATTTGACTCAGTGGGCTTTACAATCTACACCCTATGTCCAACACCAGTACGGGCCTATCAGATTACAATCATCTTATTTCCACCGGTGGCCTATCAATCGCTGTATCTCCAGTTAAAATGCACAGAGACGGAGAATAGTAGAATCTCCACAAAACACTGAGAATATTAATGTGTGTGATCCTGTGTTGCGCAGATGTGAAGTCCATGGACAGCTCGCGACCTGTGATCCGCTCCTCTGAGTCCAGTGGACCGCCTCCCTCTCTGCAAGACAAGGACAAGTTCAAGCAGGACTCCAAGACACCTATTGCCCCCAAAAAGGTACAGGTGGGTGTAATTAGTCACTTTAAAAAAGTATCTTATACACATCTCCCAGTTCTTAACGTATGAACTTGATGGTACTGCATCTTGAAAGGTTTTTGAACATTACCGATATTAATGGAACTTTTCTGACTGTCTGTCTGTGTTTGTGTGTCTCAGGATGTCAAATTGAAGAACATGGGCTCATGGGCCAGCCTTGCCCAAAAGTCCACATCCACACCCATGTCTGCAGTGAAGTCATCGAGTGACAGTTTTGAGCAGTTCCGTCGAGCGGCCCGGGAGAAGGAGGAGAGGGAGAAGGCTCTGAAGGCCCAGGCCGAGCAGGTGGAGAAGGACAGACAACGCAGAGAGCAGGACAAACTACGGTAAGGTTGTCGCAAGAAAAAACAGAGGGCTGCAATGGTTACCTCAAAGTAAACATTGAAAGACTATAGCAGCGGAGGACATGCTGACTGTAAATAGTTGTATTTTTACTTCAACAAAGCATAGAAGTCATTCGAAAAATAAGTTTGTGAGGCTGATACACTTTGTTGTGTTGAGTCCATCTAATTACAGATTGAGCAAAGCTTCAAAGACCCTTTGCGTTATACAGTTTCAAACCGTAGTGTTGATGTAACACTTTCAACAGCATACAGGTGTTATCATTGCACTTTTGTTGCAAATGTATTTAGGTAGACAGTCTAATGATGAATGATGCCAGAATCCCTGTATGATGAACAGATGCCCTCTAGTGGACATGTTGCAGCCCATTTGATAGGTTTTAGGGATGCCGTGTAGTAAAGAATAGTGAGACTGATTTCCAGAGAAAGCTTTGCTCACCAGTCTTTGCTTCTTATGTCAGTTTAGAACTGTTTGCTTAAGCCAAGACATCTCTGTATTCAACATGTTTTGAGTTGTAAGGCTTTAGGTGATCTTGTTTTATAATAAGCACAGCCATTTTCTAAAACAAAACCAAAAGTGAACCCCTTACAGCAATGTGAGAAGCATTAGATTCCACCTGGTGTAAATGATTTTCCTGAATGTTTTCCAGAGGGCGGGATGAAGAGGACATCATGGAGCCGACCAGACGGGTGCACGAGGAGCCGCGCCGGCGTCAGGAGCAGCAACACATTCAAGCTCCCTCGCAGCAGCAGCAGCAGCAGCAGCAGCAACAACAACAACAACAACCGCAGCCGCAGCAACAGCAGGAGCCCCCGCCTGCTGCCATCCAGCAGCCTCCTGCCCCCCCCACCCCGCCTCAGCCCGCTGCACAGAACCCACTCGACCAACAGAGGGAGCTCGCTCGCCGCCGAGAGCAGGAGAGGAGGAGGCGAGAAGCGGTGAGATAATTGTGTTTACGGAAATAGTCAAATGATAACTGTAACGTAGTCTAAAAGATATAGATATAGATTATAGGGATGGGAATTTGAAACCAAATTTATATTCTAATATTCAACCCCTGAAAAAAACAGTTAACCGAATTTACATATCCTATACATTGCAACGACAACAAAAGTTTACTAACCTGGTCGAAATATTTCCACACATTACTCCGTTTTGACGCCATGTTTGTTGTGTAGGACGTTACACTTGTTTTTTTTCTTAAGATATTTTAAATGGCACTATCGTACACATTTAATTAATCTATTTGATAATATGTAATCAACTTAGGCACCCCTCCCATAAAAAAAAAAAAAAAAAAATACAATACAAATATTCATCACTCGTATTCGAATACCTGAATCATTTTGAATATGAGTTGAATCATTTTGAATATGAGTTGAATCATTCCCATCCCTAATAGATTAAGAGCTACATTTGGACTAAAACCAGTAATAAGTGATTGTGTTTTCATGTGGAGCTGTAGGAGTGATTTCCCAGAAGTAGTGAATGTAGAGGAAATGCTAATTGTTCTTCTCTCCTTTCAGATGGCAGCAACAATTGACATGAATTTCCAAAGTGACTTAATGGCTATCTTTGAGGAGAACCTGTTCTGAGGAGATTAGCGACCGAAACGTAACTGCAAAAAAACAAAACAAAACAAAAAACTTGCATTATGTAAACTTCCTCGACGGAGAGACGCTTGGCGACCACGCACCCCAGAGGGCCACGGACTGTCTGTAGCCGTGACGACCCTCGGAGCGAGGACTGAGGCTGAGGGCGCCCAGCTCGCTCTGCCCTTGTGGAGCGGACACACAACACATGGGGGATCCTATTGGATGTCACATCCTGGGAATTTGGCATTGCCTGCCTGATGTAACAGGAGGAAGAGGACTCCTGTTGGCACAGTTTGCCTTTTTTCACTTACAGCGTGCGTGGGCGCAATAAATCGCAGGAGAAGAGACACCCTAATAATTATGAAATGCTCTGATAATGTACTGACAGACTGTGCAGACGTGTTTTTGAAACTGCCAGATGTCTGAGGTGGTGAAGAAGACTGGTGTTTTATGTTCTGTTTTGTTTTGATTGTTGTAAGTGAACAAATGAAATGGTCGTCGGGGCAACTTCCATATTGTATATCGTGTATATTTCTCAGCAGAGAAGGTACAGTTTGCCTTACACCTCTTTCCTAAACAGACCATTATGTACTGCACACGTTGACAAAACAATAACATTTACAACCAGGAGGAGAAGCAGTGCAGACCTTTTTTCATCATCTAGTATCTACTGTAAAGAAGTATTTTCTTATACTACAATAACTGTTTATTTTCTTTTTCTTCTTTGGGTCTTTGAATCGTCATACCTTCACACTCCTACACCTCTGTCTATGCCAAACTACCCATTATCTTTTATGCTAAATTACTTGTCCTAAAACACGGTAGGTAGCTAGAGACAAAAAAACCTGAATATATGCATTATCATAGTTCCTGCAAGTATTTATCAAAGACGGCATCAGTTTTCATCCTGCCTTGTATTTTTCATTTAAAGCTACACTTGTTAGCAGTAAAGGGGAAAGGGCCGGACGTTTCTGTGCTTTAGTTGGAATATGATTTCACTAAAAGTTTAGCAACATCCTTTGTATTACATTTGAAGACATAATGTTGGAAATGTTGATGTCATTGGCGTGTTTGCAACAGTCACACTACTGGATCAGTCAAGAAATGAGATGAGTAGTCCCTTGCTGTTCTCTCTGTTGGCGTCTCTGATCTTAGCTAAGGGTTAGGATCAAAGTGCCGGCAGCAGGAAGGGGACCATCGGGAATAAGACACACACACCCCTCTGTAGCTGTTACTTGAATCTGGTTTAGTAAAAAAATGACTGGAAGGAGCCCCCAGTTATTTTTTGCATCAAACCTCTTCTAATTCACTGAGGGCACACTGTCAACAGTACGAAAAGAAAAGACAAACAGAAATTTGAAAAAACTTTAAAAACAGTTTTGATTTATATCTTTGTTCTTGTTCAATAATAGTGGATGTGAGTTATAATTCTGTTATCGGAGACATTGTTTAGACCAGGGATGGGTTAAAAATCTGAATGCATCTCGTCCTCTTCACTTGTCTCTTATGGTGTTTTTCTCCAGTGCCTGTATTGTATTGCAATTCTCGTTGGCTTATATTACACTTCGAGGGGTTTAGAAAGGGGGCGGGGCAGGATTGGGCGGTGTAATATTTGAGATGGGAGGGAGATTTTTTTGAAAGAGTTTGTGTACAAAAACAAAAACAAAAAAAGGAAAAAAAATAAATAAGGAAAAGACAGCGTTTTATATTTTACCCGTTGTCAATATTCGGGTTTTAAATCTAGTTTTAGCTGGACTTCTATGAGTGTACACATCTGACAACTACTTTCTCATTTGTTCAATCAGCGGATTTTAGATAGATATGTTTCAGCGTTGCCACACTAGCGTTTGAGTCTGGTCTGTGAGTGTGACTGTGTAAATTTGGACGGCTGTGTGACTGTGTTTTGTTTTTGTTCAATTTTTTAAAAGTGTGTGCTGCAAGAGGCATGTTCCCCGATGTAGATAAGCATTCTATTGATGAGGAGAATAAACAGATAAACTTCAGGAGAACTTGTTTCTATTCTTAAGTCACCTTTTAATTTCTATGAAGTCTACCATATATGAATATAGAATTTTAATTATTAGCCTGGTTTTGAAAGGGTAAAAAAAAAAACTTCATTCCTTTTTTTTTAGCCTTTTTTTCTTTTCACAATAACTGTTGGACATAATGTGCCATGAGTTCTTCACAGAATGTGCTGACCCGCAGCTCAGCCCAGAGTTTGCTTTATTCAGGTATTTTATTTTGTGTTACATTTGTTCTGTTTTGGAGGTTTTGTTCAAACATTTTCCTCGATTTCTTTTTTCTCTTTTTTTTTTTGGTATGTGAGTGGTATATCGAGGTCTCTGATTCAGTCTGTTATGATCATTGAATAAACTCATCTCTTTTATAGAAAATAAAAAATAAACTAAAATCTATCTCTTTTTTTCTCATTTATCAATATTTTCAAGAGGGGAACTTTTCTTGTCCGGGCAGTTTAAGTAGTGCCAACCTGTGCCTAGCAACCATTATCGCTAATAATGGTAGTACAACAATTGTACCCTAACTTTCAGTCGACAATAAATACTCAAATATACAATTCAGCTTTTGGCTGAGGCAATGTTTTATTTTTTTATATTTCCCGAATAATTGTCTCCTTTTTTAAAACATGTCTTAATTCCTAAATATAGCATCAGGTATATTACAGCTTTTTGTTATGCTTCTTTTTGCCTTCTGTATCTCATGCACCCTCCAGCTCTCATTATTTTTCTGTTTATGTGACAGGACATGGAGATGCACCATAACCTCAGCCTAGTTCCCAACATTTGGATGACACCATACTTCAGTTAACTTTTACAGTTAAAAATGTAAAATAGGAAAACATTAACACGGCATTAGTTGTTTAGCGCAAGTGTAAAAAATCTAACGTGTCTTTGTTTGTAGATTGTGAACATCACCATGCCTGTATCTGCAATCCCATCCTTACTGCTTAAAGATGACACAGGATGGACTGGAGCTGGAACTTCTGGTACTGTTGATCTGATTTTGACCGGCTGTGGTTTTACATCCATTACATTGCATAAGTTAGCAGAATACATGCATTTGGTTTTGTTTAGGTACAATTGGTACTAATTATGCACAGCTTATTGTTACTGTCATAACTAAATACATGTTCAGTTTATTTTCTGTTAGGTTACTGAACTTATAATTGTATTTTATTTGATATAAAACTCACCAAATCTTGAATTTCAATTCTCAATTATACAGGAATAATCAAAATATTTAGATCATTGTTTTATTAAAATAAAATGTACAGTTTTCTTAAGGAATTTCCTAAAGCGTACAAAATGTAACTTTTGGTTGCATTTCAACAAATGCCCAGCGATAAATGTTTTTGTCACCTTTTTTTACATACTTGGATTGGATATTGTAAAATATCTCTCCATTGGATTGATTTATTTTGAAGAAATGTTTCCGGAAGTGTTAGTATGCCAGTGAGATCAACAGTATTCCTCATTCCTCAAAGTAACACACAGCTATCAGTTTAGCTAATCTTTATTATTACAATGAATTAACAATTACATTTTACTTTGATAAAACAGAAAATACAAGATAAGCACTCTTCATCCACGTTACACATGTAACGACAAGACTGTTTTACAACGGTCCTTTTGTTTTGAAGACAAATTGTGTATGTGTTTACACTGGCCTCTTGTGGCCACAGTGAGGAAGAGCGAAACATTAAACTGCCGGTGAGCATTTCAAATTGATGTGACTTATACAACATTACACCACTACGTGGCATTCAGACATACATATTTTACATATATACTTATTATGATTATATATGAAAGCATTGTTTTCATGATAGCCACAAATGTAATGTAGCCCCTAGAGATCAGTCTATCTACAGAACAGAGATAAGCTAAATTGCGCTTTATTTTTCATCAATCCTATGCCCTCCACAACTCTTTTAAACTATAGACACCTTTAAACCGAAGTTTACTAAGGTAAGAACTATGTTCCACTGTTCATATACAATATTTATTGTGATTTAGACGTGCCATTCTCAAGTTTTTGGAAATCGCTATCTGCTATTTAAGCTAGCTCGCTACTGTTAGCTTCCTTTACAAGCCATCACCTCAACTAAACAAGATAAAAACAAAAGATTAAATAATTTAAATGAATAGATATCTGCATAAATATCTTTATTATCACCACTGGGGAATTTTTATGTTATTTAAATATGTCGTAAAAATGAATGGTGCATCATAATTGTACAAATGAATGTTCTAGTAATCTCTGTAATCAAAAAAGTAGTAAAGTATTTCATAAAATGTAAGTTAGTAGGCTACGTTACTTCATAAAAAAAAAATATTGAACTATTGATGACAAATTCTGACAGTCTCACAAATTCTTAGACAATGTACTGTAGTGTTACTTGATCTAGTTCTTCACAAGAGGGCCGAATAATCATCATTCTCCTCAGCTTGTTATCAAGGCAGACACTAAATAAAACTTCCTTCATATAAAATAACATGTATATATATATATATATATATATGTTACATATTTTTATTTACATGTTATTATATATGATCAAATGTTTCTATTTGTATTCATACTATTATGACCATTAACGATGTTCATGTTAATTAGTAATAATTCAACTCAATTTGAGTTTTAAACGATAACCATAGGGTGCAGTTTCTGGCCGTGACCACTAGAGGACAGTGGACACAAACATAAACTAGCGTCAAGTCAGACAAAAAAAAAAACTGACATTTCCGGCAAATACCTTCAAAATAAAAGAAGCGAATGACACATTCGGTTAAAAGTAGGCAACACTATGTGCGCTTTTTAGAGACTATCATATGATATCCTTATTGAAACTTCTAAAACATATCAGTGTAAAGTCTGGTTTACCGAACATGTAGAATTTACGTTTTTTATGTTGTGTTGCTTTCAGGTGCTCCACCTAAATGTCTTGGGGTTATTGAAGGTCCTACTGACTTTTTAATGTACGTTTAACTTCAGCCACTGTTTTTGCGTCGTGACGGGTTTTTTTACATTGTAGCCTATTGCTTCAATACGTAGTTTCAGTGTTTGGTTAAAATGTCACAAACCACCCACACAGAGCATTAAAAGGGAAGTCTTTCAGTTTGAGCTAAAACTATTGGAGTGACTCACAATTGGTGGCAGACATTAATATCAAAAGTCCTCTTTTGAGATGCAAAAAAACCCACAGCTGTATTATCCGATATTTCAGGCTGCAGTGGGTGCCTCTCGCTGCCTGTGTGGGCTGCAGCTGATCCGGGTGAGAATGATTCAGAGAGAGGCGTCGACTTGAATTGACAGACGACAGCAGAGCCAAGTGTGTCAAATGGCAGCTAGCAACTCCGGTTTCATGTCGGACCTGTCTGAATGGAGGAGACTCTAAGAAGGGCGGTAAGTTACAACTAAATACACCTTTCCTTTACATACACGCTAAACATAAAATAACTTTAATGCAAAAGTATCTGTTTAAGAGTTGAGCGTATCCAGTATCGGCACGTTTCACTGTAAGTTAAAACGCGTCACAACAGCCGAACTTTTTTATATTTTCAGCCATTTTTCTCTTGTTTTGGTTAATTAGTTTGCCCCCCACAGTACAATCTAAACTCGTGTTAAATTGTTGTATCGTCGTTTGCTTGCTAATATCACTTAACAAGATGGTTTTTTTCGCGGTTGAAATCTGAGGGTTGGCTGTTGATTCTGTTTTTGAGCTGTTGGTCCCTCTGTGGGAATTTGTAATGACTATCTGTGTCCTGATCCCACTGATATGCACTGTGTTGAAATTTAGCGGGATATGTGTACTAAACTTTATTTATATAGCATCTTTTATACAATAATGTAGCCCACAAGTGCTTCACAAAGCAAGAACAAAAAATAGACAACAATAATACACTTTCATAAGACTAAAAAACAGTGAACAATAACATTGTAAAAATAAATTAAAGGCACCTGAATAAATAACACAAGATAAAAACAGTTTGAAAATCTCATGACGTACACTTACCCATCCACCTCTTGAAGACAAGTGGTTCCTATTCTTACATTGCAGTTTTGTGTCTACAGTTATGGCCATGGAGAGCAGTTTGTGGAGTACCTGCGACTACAGCCACAATGTCACCTTCTTCTACAACTTGGTGGATAAGAAGATCAGCGTGGAGTGGGCGCCGCGGGACGTGTTCGTGATTGGACTGGGCTTGACTGTATGTCTCATTGTAGTCCTGGCCAACCTGATGGTGATGGCGGCCATCTCCATGAACCACCGCTTCCACTTTCCCATCTACTATCTCCTAGGCAACATGGCTGCAGCTGACCTGTTTGCAGGGATCGCCTACGCCAACCTGATGCTGCACACGGGCCCCTGGACCAGCACCCTCACCAAGGAGCAGTGGTACATCCGAGGGGCTTTGATCGACATCAGTCTGACGGCCTCGGTGGCTAACCTTCTGGCAGTTGCCGTGGAGCGCCACCAAACCATAATCACCATGCAGCTTCACAGCAAGATGACTAAACGGCGGGTGGTGCTGCTGATCGTCTGCATCTGGGCTGTGAGCATCATCATGGGGCTGGTGCCCTCGCTGTTTTGGAACTGCGAGTGTGACCTGGAGGACTGCTCCACCGTCGCTCCTCTCTACAGCCGCCGCTTCCTCATCTTCTGGGCAGTTCTCAACCTGCTCACATTCTTCATCATGGTGGCCATGTACACTCGTATCTTCTTCTATGTGAGATACCAGATTTCACACATGTCCCAGCACAGCTCGGAGATGAGGCACAGGCAGACTGTTTTCAACCTGATGAAGACTATCTCCATGGTACTGGGTGAGAAGCTGTCTGTTCCACTGCTGCATGTTTGTTGTGGGTTAAAGGTCAAGTTTATAAGTTTGGGTTTTTGATTAACCACTAAACAAAGATTTAGGTCTATATCACACTATTCATAGCTTATATCAATACACAGAGAACATTCTATAACATAACATTCAGACTTTTTTATGGTATACTATACTATGACAATTTCTATGTTTTTATGGCAGTGTAGACTAAGACTTTAATTGTTTTGGTATGACACACTTTACTGTTAATACAATACATTGGGGAATTACAATTATTATTTTAGCGACAAATAAAAAAAAAAAATTTGCTTCATATTCAGAAACTAAGATTTAGTGGCTTTAACATGTATTTAGCTGGCCGCTACATATGAAGATACACTGTCTCAATATTAAATATGCTTTGGCTCCGAGTTTTGTACATGTCTGGATGATTGCTACTTGTGGCCTAACAGTAACCTCCTCAAACCAGTTTTGCAGCATTGCCTTTCTGTTTGCCAGACCATTCTGATTACATCATGTACTTTAACACAAAAAGCTGTTAGGAATTTCGCAATTTCTCTTCACAATACACCTCTGACTATCTTTGTGACTCATCTCCCAGTGGAGAATCACAGTTAACGTTGATATTAGGCATCAAGGAACACGTGTGACCTAATGTAGCTGCACATTTGGAAGATTTTCCTTTATTGTTGTTGACTCCCTTTTTTGCCAACCCACATCCTTCAGGCGCCTTTGTGATCTGCTGGATGCCCGGCCTCGTGACGCTCTTACTGGACGGGCTGTTGGGCAAAGCCAGCCACGCCAACGCCTACGAGAAGTTCTGTTTGGTCATAGCCGAGTGCAACTCTCTGGTCAACCCCATCATCTATTCCTTGCGAGACGAGGAGATGCGGGGGACGTTCAAGTGGATCCTGTGCTGCCTGTGTGGGAGGGGGGGGGGACAAGCAGATGGAGCTTTCACCTGTCGAGATTTACCCCCCACTGCCAGAGGTCTAGTTATATTACCACATTTGAAATGATTTACAAGCACAGGCTATCAAATCGAAAGAAAAGGCTCACATTCAGATATCGCTCTTCCGTTACACACACAGCGAGTTATGCAGGTTTTCATGTAACGCACCAATGCACATGCTGATTTCATATCTAACGCTCAGGTACGCTGTACCCGGCGCGAGAGAGAACCAGGAATTCCTCCTCTTCATGTCCGTTTCATCTTTGGGTCAAGACTACTTTTATTGAGAAAGAAAACAATTAAACGCATAGTTCAGATGGTTTGATGTTGGGAAGTACTTATTTATAGATATTTTTTAAAGAACAAGTTAGTGCCAGTTCTCCCCTTTGTGTTGCTGTGGACAGGGCCAGCAGTAATGTATCAGTATTAGTTTAAGTGGATGCTATATTCAGAATATCTTCACTGATTTCCCTTGCCGTCAGACAGTCTTTTCCTATGGGAACTTAAGCTAGCTGCCAGAAGTTATGTCCACTGCTCTCTTAAAGCCACTAAATTCCTTTTGACAACAACAAATACCTTTACAAAACATAGAAGTGGCTGATCTCTGTTTTATTTATTTGACATATCAGAAATATGTATATATAAGAAGTTGTACACAGACAGATACATATTCATTATCTGCCTCTTCATCACTTTAGATTGTTAAGTGTGACTTTGGTGAGTTCCAACTAACCTTTTTCAGCCATAACACAAACAAACTTACATCTTGTGGCAGAGATCAGCATCTCGTGTTCTGCATGGTCAAATTAGTTTTTTCTCAATGGAGTCTGGTGGCTTTGAGAACATTAAAGGACAGAAAGGCTTCAGACCCTGTCATTACTTGTTTCTTTAAACTAGATCCTTGCTGATGAACAACTACTGTATCTATACTCCGACCACAGAGAAGTGCAACATACAACCCTACTTTTATCTATCTCTGTAAATTACAAAATGGCATCCTTACTGTACAGTATGTCCTTTTAAATTCAAAACACATTTTTCCATTGTTCTTGATGCCTAATGAATTGTTTTGTTTTTTACAGGAAGCTCTTGGCTGTGTCCAGAAGTCAGAAGATCCGGCCGTCTGTCCAGAAACGAACAATAAAGAATCCAGCTGGATGATACCGGGGGTCTGATGTCTGTAGGCCTGCAACTCAAACAAACCGTGACTGTCAAGTCATCCAACGACACATCGTGTAAAATCCTTCTTTGTATTTCCTGCCAAATGACCTGTCATGTTTGCAATTGTAAAAAAAAATATATAAAGATGCATCTTTTGAAAATAATTGTATCCATGTCGAACCAATGCTTTCATTCCTCAGTCTAACGAGGCGGACAGATCCACATGTTGATCCTCGAATGGTGCAATCTCTCCTTTTATTACATTTGACTATCACAAGAGCATTTGTGACAAATCATAAAATGAAACACTCCTAAAATCTGAAATGAAATACTGAAAAATCACACTAAATCATTTTATTAATTTTCTAATAAGAACACTACATTTTGTCATATTCTTCCTTTTGTTTTACTCTTTCTAGAACAATTCTAAAGTTGAGGTATAAAAGGAGTTCATACAGACTCACAAGTCTGAAAACAGTGGGGGTTATATACAAGAGAAATGGAAAGACAGAGGTAGAGAGAGGGGTAAATACAAGGGAAAGAGGGGATACAAATATACTAATAAAAACAAAGAAATCAAAAAGGTCTACGAAGCCATTTGGCGCGGTGGAAGTCATTTAGACATTTCAGAATATAACCGTAAAAACTTTGCAGATATGTTGAAAAAATTCAGTGGACCACATGTTTGTCTTGAAGTGTTTCTCATAAATGCTTTTGGCTCTTCTCATGTTTGAGGTGAGTTGACATGAAAAGAGCAAATTGTAGACCATCTGCTTTACGGTGAAGGTCTCTGGATTCAGGGTGCATCCATTTTAAATGACGTTGAAGTTCACCTAATCCCTCAAAGATTCAGTATTAACTTCCTCTCAGTTGTAAGCAAATATTCTGCTTGCATATTCTTACAATATTCAGGCATTACAAATTAGTTTCTGGGATTAAATGTCTACAAAACCGGCAACATCTGCACATTTACATGAAGTCATGTCGGATCAGTTTGAAGCCTCCGGAGCACAACTGAATGACCCTCCATGTAACTATTAAAGCTTTTGTAACTCCGTAAACCTAAACTTGAATACGATCAAACTATTTGATACCTCTTTTAGAAAACTAAATAGATTTAGGATTGAATGGCAAACAGATGGGTGAATATTCTGAGAATTGTGGAGAAGGTTGAGACTGATGGGGAAAGGTTACCCATGAGGCTTTAGGGCAGAGTACACCTACTATTGTCTAGGTGTAGAATTGTCTTTCCACAGCACCAAATGTCACACCTGTAAACCCTACAGCCACCCGGCTATGTAACAAAAGACCTAAATAATATTCAAAATGGAGAGTTATCGTGAATCCTGTGACACAAAGGCCAAATAAAACTGGCATCTCAACCGAACAACAAAGTTTATAAAAGGAAAAAAAAAAAAATACTGAAACATTACACAAACTGTACAGTGACATCCATTACAACAGGTAGAAAAAGGGGGGCATGATAATTTGGTGTGGCGATAACGTTATTCATAAGATACAGTCGTATGAACCGCGATGAGTAACAAAACAATAATCAGATGTGGGATACAACATGTGATAAGCTCAAGTTTTGTTCTGTAACATAATTCAAGAAAGTCTTGACGGACACTGCATAAGGCTTTACCTTACTTTCAAAATACTTTGTTAATCACATAAAAGTTAATGTATAAAATAGTTCCAAAGAATGAAAAAACGTTGCAGGTTTGTCTTAAACACGAGTTAAGAGTTTTACTACCCCCCCAGTGCTGCCTCTTTTTTGGTAAAAGAGGAGAGAGAAGCTCTTGCCCAATTGGCCGTATAACTATAAACAAATGGTGGTTTTAGGTGTTAGGGGAAGGGTTACAGAGCATAACTGATACGCTCACAATCAAAATAGAGCTGTGATATGACAGTCCTCACTCCACCCACCCACCCTTCCATGATGCCCCACAACAAAACCCCCAAAAATCTAAATCAAGTTGAGGCATGACAACACCACACAGAGACACAGATACAAATATAATTCCCTCCTCTCCTCGAACTGAAAAGGTGGCTGTGCACCAACGTTAGAGAGACACAGAGTAGCATTATTACATTGCTGAACGTGGTATTTTTGGTTTTGACACAACAGAAGGTTGCAGTGTGTTGCCTCGGGCTAACAAGCTTAAATGTTTTCGAGATGGGGAGCAGTGGACCCCACCTGGAGTGTCATTGGCTGGCGGAAGCACCCAGTCTCTACAATGCTTACAAAGGTCAGAGGGCACCAGCCAGTGTGACGAAGACATCCCAAGAGCACTGTACACACACAGACACACACATCATAGCAATACATGATGCACTTTTTCCTTTTTGGTCTGACTGTAATAATTATACCCTTTATTATTATTATTTGTTTTGTTAATACAAACGAAGCTAAAAACTTGGAAGGTTAAATGAAAACAATAATATCACGCCTAGGAGTCCTACATGCATGGAAGACAGTCACGTTTCTAAAGTCATGTCACGTTTGTCCCAATAACACATCAATGCCCCACAATCGTTCCACCTTCTCCTCCTCACGTCATTGAGATGCTTTATTGAGCTCATTTTTGGTGGTGGCTGGTGCATTCTTGGTGAAACAGCATTAGAAAATAGCCTACAATCAAATAAACTAGTGGACAGAACGCAAGAAGTAAAGTCTACAAGCCGTCTACCAACACCCTCTATTGGTTAGCAACAAAAAAGGGCTATTAGTTACATCCACTCAACCAAAGGTATTCTCCTCTGCCCATTCCTCCTCCTCTCACCAGCCCTGTTATCACCTGCACTGCCTTCAGATCAGAGACCCCCTTAACTACCCCCACCTACAAAGATGCTCACGTTTGTGCTCGACACATCCTTCAAGTCAGCTCACTGAAAATGTGTGTGGGCATATCTCAATTATTCACTTTGTTTAAATCTCCAACAGAAATGAAGCATCAAGCGATAAAGGACTGGAAGATATAACAGTGTCTTGTGTTGAGTTGGCAGAGGGTGGTCTCGGAGGAACAGCTGTGTTGACTGGGCAGCACTTTGGTACGAGCGAGGTGAGCAGAGCCCCCTGGTGATCCGTAGCAACAGTTTGGCTGTCAAACGCCGAGGCTTCAAGAGATACAGGCAATCACAAACAGCTTTCCAAAGCAAAGGGTCGAGTGCAGAGGTCAACAGCACATGGACAAGCTGCGTGGGTACTGTGAGAAGTTATCGTGCATAATATACACATAATGTACAGACATCATGATCTTCACAGCTGGGTCAGTGGTTTTCAAAAAGTCTGTGATAGTAAAGATGTTTTCTATGCGTCTCAGCATCGGTGAGCTCCATCCCTCTTTTAGTCAGAGTGAGGGAGCTTCTAGCATCGAGGTGGAGCTGTGTGGGGGGGGGGGGGGGGGGGGGGGGGGGGGGGGCAACTCCTCCTAACTACTGTTTGGCTGTCCTGTGTTCCAGCACAGTGTGCGTGTGTTTATGAAATGCGAGCGCAGCCTTGTGTGGCTGTGGAGTTGAGAGACGAGGGAGTGGTGGAAAATGAAGACGGAGGATGGCAGTCGGAGCGGGCCGCCGCAGAGGGAATGAAGAGATGGCAGGGGGAGCCACAGAATCAGTTGGAGGTGTCGGAGTGGACGCTGCCAGGAGGACCGGGAGGAGAGGTGACCGGGGGGGGGGTGGTGGTGTCCTGCCAGCTGTTAGCCTGCAAACAGTCAGGGAGGAGAGTGTTCTGCATGAAGAAGGAGTTTTATAATTAGACGTCTAAATCGGCTATATTTATGCTTACAGGCCAAAAGATGCAGCGTAGGAGATAGCTCACTGTATGCAGACAAAAAACTATCAGCTGTGTATGTATGCACATTGTTACACACGCAGAGACAATGACTTTCTAGCTAAGTCAATTGTTGTCGCGTGTCTTTTTCTCATCCCCTTCCCCAACATAAATCAAGTTAACAAAATTGGAGGAAGCCAAATGCAACCTGGTTACTTGATATCTCAGATATTTCTGCCTCCAAGTCATATATTCCTAAAATGTAAGTCTCTATAATAATTCACCCACAAAGAGAAGCAATTGGCTTATTGTCACATCCCAGGAAGCATCTCTTAGGTCACATTCAAGTTGAAAATGTCCTTGATGAGAATAAAACAGGTCTAAATTCGATTCAAAGTTATAATAACCATTTATGTTTTTAAACCATAGTCCAACAGCAACAATGTATTCTCTTCACATTTGAAAAACAACCATTCAAATGCTAAAAGAAGCTTTTAGTGTGTACTCACATCCAGGCGGTGAGGGGTGTAGAGGCCACTTCCCGACAGCTCCTCATAGCCGCCCGTCAGGTGTGTAGCACGGTGCAGGGTATCCACCTGCCACACAAAATAGACCCACAACTTTTAACTCAACATTCAAACAACTATACCGTTTTTCTAAACAACCACAGGCTGAACTGAGTAATCCACAAACCTCTACTGTACGCATCATCATTCTGACTGCTTTTCTGCCAGTGACACATTTGATTAAAAGTCGTTTTTCAGACAAAGTGATCACTACATTACGGCAATCAATAAAGCATATCCTATAGCTTCTGTTTATTGTTCAATGTCAACACTCGTAAAAGCTTAACAGCAGAAATGTGTGGACTCCTCCAGACAGTTCACTGTGAGGAAATCTAATTGGTGTACATAAGGATAGAGAACAAATGGAGAGATGGGATGGAGGAAAGGGAGGGAAAACACAGACTAAAAAAGCAGGTAGCTGTTGGAGAGGCAGGACAACCTAGAGGGAAAGAAAATGAAGCTCAGCGCAAGTTCTTTCAGGAAGACTGGTACACATTCACTCCGCAGCTGCTTATAATCAGCTCATCACGGGCTTCCTGCTAACCTATTACAATCACCTCAATCTCAGCAGCCAATCATCGTGCTGCAGCCAAACTTTCAAATGGTTCTCCTCTCTCCTGCAGTCAGCTGTGATTTCAGGTGTTCATGCTGCCGACATACCCGTTTCAGATCCTCGTAGCAGATATCAAGCAAGAGCGAGAGGAGAAGACCTCCATCGGCAGAAACACGGGTACGTCCGACTCCGGCCGTCTCGGCATAAGCGAACAAGAACGGAGTCGAGGCCCCTCGATCAGCTGATCCGCGAACACGGAAGTCGCATTACGCACAAGCCGACCGCGAGCCGGCCCTCTACGCCGTATTCAATCCCTCGCAGGAAATTCAACCAGCAGATAAGTGACGTTTATCCGTGTTCACAGCACGTTTAGGCATGATCGCCTCCGTGTCTCATCAGATGCGTATCTCGGCACCCCTTTATGGGTTAGGGCAGTCCGGATAAAATAATTATATATTTAAAAAATGAATAAATATAAAAGAAAGAAAGAATGCACAGGTTCTCCTTCATACTTTCATGCATATAACTGGTGGTGGTGCAAACCGTGCTTGCTTTTATGATCATACGATCCCCTCTCTGGTACTTCAATAGCAGACCTCAGCTAATGTCTCAGTGCACACTTTTCCGTCAAGCATAAGGAATGGATGCAATATAAACAACTCGTGCTCAATGTAGTCTTGCAGCGTATGTCTCTCACAGCAATGAGTCACTCACTCAGCTCACGTTTTAATCATCTGCAGAATACCTTCATTGCATTACATTATTCACTAATCAGCACTTCTCCAGAACGGTTTCATCTAATTGTATCCCTGTCCTGTACATTCTCTGTTTTATAATGATTGCTTATTCTGCCCTTATGCGTGTAACCACACGCATGCCCGATCCGACCCGATATCCGCACCGTACTGGCTAATCAAAAACTCTTAAACTCCCACGGTAAGCTATGCATATAACTGGTGGTGGTGCATCACATCCTTCTAAGATAATGTTTTACCACATGCTATGCCTCTCTCAATTATCCCAGCAGACTGCCTGAGCGATCAGAAGTCTTGCAATAGCCAGCAGACTGCCTGAGCGATCAGAAGTCTTGCAATAGCCAGCAGACTGCCTGAGCGATCAGAAGTCTTGCAATAGCCATCAGACTGCCTGAGCATCAGATGTCTTGCAATAGCCAGCAGACTGCCTGAGCATCAGATGTCTTGCAATAGCCAGCAGACTGCCTGAGCATCAGATGTCTTGCAATAGCCAGCAGACTGCCTGAGCGATCAGAAGTCTTGCAATAGCCATCAGACTGCCTGAGCATCAGATGTCTTGCAATAGCCAGCAGACTGCCTGAGCATCAGATGTCTTGCAATAGCCAGCAGACTGCCTGAGCATCAGATGTCTTGCAATAGCCAGCAGACTGCCTGCCATCAGATGTCTTGCTCCATGCAATAGTCAGTATCACAGGGAGCGCAGCTCACCCCATTCTATTTTCCTTCTCTCTCCCCCCACACATTCCTGTCTAACCCTTGCTTGCTTCCCAGTTTAGACTCGTCGCATCACGTAAGGTAAGTACATGCCCACATTCAGCGCAGTACTACTATCATATCACTCGCAGATATTATCTTAATGATTCATTGCATCGCATTATTCATCATTCGTTTGTTGGGGGTTTCTCTTTTCCTAGTTCATACCCGGCTCCTTCTCTATATCAATTATATACATTTCTGCCTCACTGCATACATCTCGGTCTAAATCCTCAATCCTGTCTCTGCAGAATCCATGCCACCTGGTAAGGTAAAATCCTTCGTCAAGTGGTCCGATCTTAATCTTTCATCCACTTTCCTCCTTTTTGGGGGTTCCCTATGCTCACGGCTGCATCCCCCCTTTAGATATACGATTTCAGGATCGGGGTCTAATCGCCAAAGACTTAACATTTATCATATGGCATGTGTCAATAAATGGGACTATTTGTTCATGTAACTACAGAGGGATATGCAATAACAAACTGACATTAATCCTGTCCAGAGAAGCCATCCTCAGAGCGAAAGAAGCGTCCGTTTGTTTGTGTTTGGGGAGGGGTTGCAGGGGTAAAGTCAGGACGGGATCTGAGGAGAGGTCGAGGGTCGAAGGGAGCTAGGCTAAGGGTAGATATCCGGGGATTCTGGGTAGCTGGGCTAATGGCATTGAGGTAAACTCTGCAGCTGTCCTCAGTGCGTACCTGCGGCTGTAGAGAGGGGGCGATGTTGAGACCCTCCCCGTTGAGCAAACGCAGGCTGAGGTAGGCGTCGCCTGCGTGAGACAAACTGTATGACCCCGGTGACCCTGCAGGCAATATATATAGCCAATATCCAATCAGCTCAACCACAATGCCATGGGGTCAAAAGGTCACCACTGGTCCTGGATATTGACTAAAGGAGGGAAATGCTAATAACCAGCTTCAACATATGGGGGAATGGTCTCAGGCAGTGTTCCTACAGGATGGTTTGACAGGCCTAAAAGCCTGGCTTCTCCTACAGTATCACACACCTACTGCTTAAGTGTGTGACAGTTGGAAAATAAAATGTGTAAGTAATTCCAATATTTCTAAAAACGCTAATTACAGCTGCATAAAAACACTTTATTTAAAGTAAACTTGGTTTCCTTGTTGGTCTTTGGTGAGGAGGAAAGATTGGGCTTTCTTTTATGTGAAACTGAATTTTATAGTTCATTGGATTTTTAAAGGTTTTTAACGACCTGGCTGTACAAAGTGGTCACTAGGGCTGTGCAATTAATCGTATTCTAATCTCGATTACGATTTTGGCTTGCAACGATTACGAAAACAACGTAATCGAAATAAAACTATTATTATTATTTTTTTTTTTTTTTATTGTGTTTTCAGTTGAATTATACTTAAAGTTCAGGGTAATCAACTGTTACAACAAACTTTTTTTTTTTTCAATAAATGGATGTTTTCAAAGTAAATGGATAATCATTTTTAATAATCGCGATATCAATTATTGACCAAAATAATCGTGATTATGATTTTTGCCATAATCGAGCAGCCCTAGTGGTCACTGTTTGTTTAAGGACAATTGTGCCATAAATAGGGAACTGACTAAATGAATCCCTATGTCTGAACGATCACCTACCTGATCCCTTCAGCTCACTTGGCAAATTGAGATGATCATATTATGACTGTGTGCAACAAATAATGAATGGGGATGATTTGTAGGAGAAATAGGGGGTTTGACAGAAAGCAGACATCAGGTGAGTCTCTCTAAATGATACACAATAGTATCACAACAGTTAAAGTTCCGAAAAATATATGTTTGATAACTGTCTATGAATGTTTTCTCGCAAAATAATTGAAGCATTTCTGAAAACGCAGTGTATGCATTTTGCTGACAGCAGTGTACAGTGTAAGGCTTCCTATTAACAATCCAGTCTCTCCTTCAAACAGTCATGGCGTGGTTCGAAAAAGGTTCAGTTGTGTTTAAGAAAGAAAGTGTGTGTTTAGGAACTGAAGCCTGTTGATGAGAAGTGCAAAGGCTTGTGGGTAGACTTGATGGAGCGTGTGTTACCTGAGTTGGGCGTTGCCGGAGAGTTAGCCTGGCTAGCCTGCGCAGACACATTGGCAGCATCCACCGCTGTCTTCACCGCGTAGAGGTTCGCCTCCTCCTGGAACTTACCGATGTTCTTCTTGTAGCGTATTCTCTTGTTGCCAAACCAATTAGAGACCTGAGGGGACAGAGGTGTGTCAGATATACACTTCTTTTAGGTTGTAACATCACTATGGTTTCCCTTCCAGCTAAAAATTATTTATCATTTATTCGTATAGTAGGGAGGTCACGATATTATAGTTTCATCAGGGCCAAAATGAATCAATATATTGAACTATGTTAATGGAAAATTAAATGTTGCATTATACTATCATGTTATTAATAACATATCAACATTTTATTTTACTGACATGGTGGTTATCCCAATATATCGTAACACCCCTGCCCATTTAGCTATTTTTTAATTCTTTTTTTAATTTGAAATAACAACGGACTAAACAAGTTTAAAAAACAAAGCTGTTTTAATGATGTAGTGAAACTGATCTGAAAACAGAATAACTTCAGCTTTCACAGAAACAGCCTTTTAGAGATGTGGATAGTAGTGGTCATTCACCTGAGACACAGTGATCGCACACTTTTTGGCCAGTTCCTCCTTAGCCTCCTCACTGGGGTAAGGGTTAGAGAGGTGGGAGTAGAAATATTCGTTCAGTACCTCTGTGGCTTGCTTGTTGAAGTTGCGCCGCTTACGTCTGAGACACAAGAGAGAAGGGAAAATTAGAATTGGAATGTACAGCTCTGACACAACATGCTCAGATCACCTCAGATGATCACCACACACACACACACACACACACACACACACACACACACACACACACACACACACACCACACACACACCACACACACACACACACACCACACACACACACCACACCACACACAGCACACAACAATCACACACACACACACACACACACACACACACACACACACACACCTATCACTACCACACCGCACACACACACACACACACACACACACAAACACACACACACACCACACACACACAACCACACGAACACACCACACACACACACACCAACCCACAACACACACACAACACACTCAACACACACATCACACAACACATCACACACACACACCACACACACACACACACACACACACACACACACACACACACACACACAGAGAGAGAGAGAGAAACAGACCTGGCGTCGAGGAAGCGTGAGCGCAGGATCATGACGGCCTCGCAGGTGCTCTGTTTGAGCTGCATCTGGATGGAGCTGAACTTGCGGTGGATGATGGCCACCATGCGCTCAATCTCCTTGGGAGAGATGGGCCGTGTGCGAGACTGCTCTCTCAGCAGGTTCATTACATGGTTGGTGAACTCACTGCAGGCCTGGAGCAAGGAGAGAGAGAGAAAGAAGTTGAATACTACTGTAAAAGACAGACCAGGCACGGATTCTATCCTGAGCCATGACATGGTTTTGATGATGAGATGCCTCTTCTGCCTGACTGAATACTCAGTTGATAAGCAGCCTTTATCTTTCTAAGAAAAAACGTGTTACACCTGGATACTAGTTACGAGTTAGTCACAGCATTGGAAGCCTTACAGACAGTCCATAGTAAGTAAGTAAGTAAGTAAGTTTATTTATAAAGCGCTTTTCACAGACAAAGTCACAAAGTGCTTGACAAAACAATAAGACATCCACATAGATCAATACAATGATCAATACAATACAATGATCAATGAACCCACATGTTAAGAAGTCACATGTTTCTCACTCCTATACCAGTAAAACAAATGGAAAGTGCAACCAAGTGCCATCAAGAATCCAAACCATGAAGAGCTTAATAGAGAAAGCCAAGAATTCAGGCCGATAAGTGACCATTTCTGTCCAGGTTGACTTGAGAGAACAATCCTCACCATGTCTGTTCACTCCAGTATCAATAACCAAATGTATCGATGTCAAAATAAATGTTAACCTTTTATAATGAGACTAATATATGAATCCATTATTTATTTGTGGTTGTCAATCTCTCCAAAACGTTCCAGTCCAAACAACAAAACAGCAGCTTAAATAGTAGTTAAAATACCTCCAAACATGGAAAGAGAAGTGAGCCGTTGCATGGTAGGAATACAATCATTTAGTCTAACAGAACAAAGTTAGATTTTTTCAGTTCGAACAAAATGATTGTTACCTTACTGATTACCCAATGTACCGAGGCATAACGTTTCTGTCTCTTACTGACTTCCCTAAATTCATTTAACATGTTAATATTTACGGCCGACAATCTGTACACACCTGCTCGTATTTCTCCAGCTCAGAGTGGTAGATCTGGCGGATCTGTGCGAGCTTGGCTCTGTAGTCGGAGTGTTCGATGCTGCTGTCGGTGGGTGAGCCCCCCGCCGCCGCTGCAGCTGCAGCCGCCGCGGCCGAGCCCCCTCCCTTCTCTGGACCTGACACCCCCTCTGCTAGCAGCATGTTGTCCAACCGCATGATCTGAGGATCTGGGGGGTCCTCCTCCTGCACACCTCGTATACTCAGCACTAGACGACACAAGGAGAGAGAAAGTAAACAAGGTCAACATTTGTCTGTTTATGAAAGTTTTCCGTTACATTCTGCCCCAAGCCTTTCTGGGGTGGAGAAAACCTGTTGGTGAAAAAGTTTCTGAGAGAACATACATTTCTCTTCAAGGAGAAGAACAATACTGTGGGTGTGAGGGGTGCATAGGAAGATGCGTTATCGCTGCCAAAAATTCGAAGAAAGTGCAGCCCTGTCAAAACCCAGTGAAGTTTCTCCCCTGAGTCATTGCTGTGAGCGTGTGGCTGAATTCTCAATGAGTCTGAGCTTCCTCTCAACTAACAGCAGAGGGCAGTGTGGCCCCTCGGTGGCAGCCTGCCAAAGATAAGAGCATGAGGCATGGGACCAGTAATGGGAGTGCATGTGCTGTCACTATGAGCCCCAGTGGCCATAAGTATAGTTATCAGTTGCTGCTCTCCACCACTGCATTATACCAGGACCTCTGTCAGCCTGCAGCCATGCTCTCATCTCTCTCTCTCTCTCTCTCTCTCTTTCACACATATACACACAAACACACACACACACACACACACACAAAAGTTGAGTACAGAAACCCATCTTTTTCCTCAGAACCTTAAGCTTTTAACACTTAACAGTATTTTCTCTTGCCCCTTCTGCTTCTCGATCATTCAACTTCAAAAAGTAATAAAGTAGAAACTTGGTGTCGCAACTCAAAGTGTTGGTCAAGTTATTTATAAAAAGTCCTTTTATTTTGTAAATTATAAATACATTATTTAATGATATATGCAAAAAAACGAAATGATGTATGGATAATTCACTTTAAAGTGGAATGTCAAAAATATAACTTTTATTGCCTATATTTCCAAATTGCTTTTATTATCATATAAAACATTTTTAATTACAATATATTAGCGCTCTAATGATGCGTTCATTAACCAGTCGACAGAAACTTAACAGCAACTGTTTTGACATTTGATGAATGGTCACCCACATTTCTCACTGGTTTCTCAAATGTGAGGATTCCTTTATTTTCTGTTTCATATCATCATAAAGTGAGTATCTGAGTTTGCATCTAGGTTCAACCAACTTTTGAAATTATCTTCTGATTTCAATTAGATTGTTGTCGAGGAAACAAAAGCAAACAGTTCTATCGATTCTTATAGAAAAAAAAACTTGCAATTTGATTGATTACTAAGAGATTATTTGTTGCAGCGCTAAAACACATGTCTACTACTAACAAGTAGTAACAATAGTACAATGCAAGAAACTAAGTTACCAATGGAATGTTTACTAATATGGATATTGGTGCAAAAACGTTCAGTCACAAATGAACACAGCAGTGGCTCCACATGTATATAGATCCAAATGAAGGAGTTCAAAGCCTATTTAAACTGTGGTAAAACCAGACAGGATTCTGAAGGAGCCAGATGCTAATAATATGGATGATAAGAGTAATCTGAGAGGAAACTGGGTTAGGCGTTTGTCCTCATTAAGGATTACGCTAGTTAGCCAAAGCTCATCATCAAAGGTGAGCAGGTTCATGTTCTCAGTCATTCAGAGCCTTTTCTTAGCACAACTTTCACAACTAGGATTCTTAACGTCGTTGTTAAAATTGTCCTAAAGAGTTCTCCTAAAAAAGAAAACGTTGCAGCCGTATCTGAGTCAGAGCTAACAAATGAGTAGAGCTGCTCTGTAGCACTAACAGATGTGAAAGAAATGAGGACAAAAACAGTTTTGCTTAAAGTTTCCAAGTGCTTTGGAGCAGATGAGTTGTAGTTTTTTTTTTAAAACTTAATTTGATAAATGAGCCTTTTCCACCATTAAGGCCTCCCTTAGCAAAGCATCCAACTTTCCCTCCCATTTTTTTTTCTTGTTCCTTCTTGCTTTTTTCTTTCCTTCTGCTTAGGACCCTTCTCTCTCCAAGGAACATTCCTGCTCCGCTGCTCCCCCATCTCAGGGCTCAGGAATGCAGCAGACCCAGCCGCCTGAACTAATGACCCTGATTCGCCCATCTCTTTTCTTTTCTTTCAGTTGTTCACAAAAAGGTCTCTGCACTTCCTAGCAAGGTAACCTATAGCTAATACATTGATCAAGCTGCACCAGAGGTATTTGTTTTGTACCTGTTGAGACTACAGGATACTTTGTAAACGCTCTGATGGCGGTTAAAGTGTTGTGTTCATAATTAGGTCCATTATGCCACGCACAGCTTTTGGCTGAGTGTACTCTTATGTTGGACTCCCTGTGCAATCACTGAAAAGTACAACTGACCTCAACTGAAGAGGGCAACTGTGGCTCTTGAAGCTTTTCACCTCTCCCCCCTCCCTTTTGCCCCCACTCCTCATTATGGCCCCCAGCTGTAGCCTAATGCCCCGACATTCCCCTAATTACTCCAATTAAGCTGTGATTACCCACAATTGCACTCATGCACAGTCTAGTGGCCTAGTGGTATTATAGCAGCTGTTAAGATGCTGCACAGAAAAAAATACCACATGGAATAAAATTGTAAAAGTCCCAAAGTCTTCCACTCGCAAGCCAACCATGAGACTTTTGAAAAAATACAAATCTGCAGGTCTGAGGAATCTAGGCAGCGATTCCCTTTGATCAATGGGCTCTTGACATCGCCGCTGGACTGCCTCCGTTACTGAGAGATTAAAACTCAAGACTGCTGTAAGTAATGATACTTTTTTTTTTTTTTTTTTTTTTATAAATAGGAAGACAGCTTAGGCCCACAGCCTGCATCCCTAGCTCTTAGACATCACACTATTATGCACACGCTACCACACTAGCTGGGCTGTGTGGCAATGAGAGACGGAGCGAGCAACACATACTATGAAATATTCAGGGTATCCAGCTGGGCTTTCACTGCATACATAATCATTCTCATTTCTGCACAGCCAATGTAAAAACGGTGTGCTGTGCAGACACAATACACAATATATGAAGTGGTGCAGGTAAGGTTGAGGAACCTAACCAATAGCGTAGTGCTGTACATTAACTGTAATGCCTTCCACACATAGGGAGAGATAAGACTTAAATGCAGTCAGTATATCATTGCTCAGCTCACAACACAAGCTTTATCCTTGTCTGTCTTTTTCTCTCGCTAGCATCCCCTTTTTTCACTCTGTCTCCCCCCAACACACATCCCCTCCCCCTTCTCCTTTTCAGCGCACCCCCACCCACCTCCCCCAGTGCCGCCCCCCCCCCCCTCCCTCTGTTCTCCATTTCAGTCGAGTTCTCCATGTGAGCCGCAATCCCTCATGCTGTCAGCCCCCCCCTCTCCCTCTCTCTGTAGACAGACAGGATTAGCATTTTAATTGCATCAGCTCCCTTGGGTATTCTCAGCCTTTCACTGGGAGAGAGCAAGGGAGCGGGAGAGAGAGAAGGATAGAGAAGGGAAAAAAAGGGGGGAAAAAAGGTAAGGAGCGAGAGAGAGGGGAGAAGGAGAACCAAGGAGAATTGAAAAAAAGGGAGTCACAGGAGAAGATATGTGTGTGAGAGAGGAAGAGACAGAGAGAGAGTCTACAGAAATATACAGAGTACAGACGTGCCAGAGAGCAAGCAAGCCAGTAAGAGTGAAAAGATAGGACTGTGAAAACATCAGTTTCTCCTTTCATTACAGACAGAGAATTCAGATAAAGAGAATGGGCCATAGAAAGATGGTTTGCACAATGGAAATATGCTACATGAATATGCAAATGTCCCACACAAAAACAAATCTCAACTGCAGCCAGAGATATGATAGGTAAGACCCTGTATGAGGATTAAAACTGTTTGCAGGGTATGAAATGGGAAACACAAATGTAGATACGGAAAACAAGAACTGGGGCCAATCTGCGTTTATTAAACTTCTCTTGTCAGATTTTTCCACCTAAAAACAAATAAAAAACTAAGGTGTAAAAATGGTGGTGAGGATAAAATGCACCAAAACCAACCAAAACCTGACTGGACCATATCTGACTTTCTTTTACAAATTCTCATGTTGGACCAGTTTGACATCAACTATGCAATAAACATTTTTGATGAGGAAGAGAGGCTTTGGTGTACTTGTATCTGTCCTTTTGGGGAGGGGGACCTGGCACCTCACCATCTCCCAGTTAACACTCTGTGCCTTTTCTCTGGGCTTACAGAGCCCTTTGGAGTGAGCTCCAGCCACCAACCGTAGAGAAGAGAGGGAATTTTCCATGACCTTTAAATCCATGCGGTGAAAAAAAATCATCACGTTCACTATGCCTAGTTAGTCATCACATGTGCTCGGATCAGAACTATCAATCTTTAACAATGTTAGTAGGAGCCTCGATTCTTTACAACATGTTTGAACAATTTATTACTGACAACTTACACACAAAACTTCCTCTGTACATAAAGTACTTTGATTTATCATGCCATTTCTGTAGAATATGGGTTGCTTTAAAATGCTTGGGTGAATAAAAAGTTGCCCTGGGCTAGTAGTAGAATATGGCATTAAAAATGAATTATTTTCCTGATGGGCTTTTTGCCAAATGGATATTAGGAAAAGCTAAATATCTACTGGAAATTCAATACAAAAGTGTGCGCCTCCTTTCTTCTAAAATGGTGTTTTTCACCAACCAATCAACTTAATGAGCCTGATCCATATGTCCAATTCTACTTTAAGCAGCTCACGCTAATCAGCATCTGTTTGGCGAGTCCACAAGAGTCCTGTTGCACGCAGCCCCCCACTCTGACACAAACCAAACACGCAGCCACACACACACACACACACACAACACACTACGAAGTAAGCATTCAGAGCAAACAGTGTGCTCTGATTAAGGTGTGAATTGGAGAACTCACACCTTTGGCAAACACAACACTTCAGTCCAACACATCATTAATCAGCCCTTAATTAACTAAAGAGAGGCTTGGACACTCAAGCGATGACTATGTGTAGCCCCCTTGAATTGTCATACATTAACACACTGTCACACACACACAACAACACACAAACACTAATGAGGGATATATCAATTTGTGTTGTCACTTAGTA